AGTTCCCTACCTAAATAGGCACAAGTTTAACTGCAAATTCTGTAACTGCTGAAGTGGTACTTAGAAACAATTTTAAACTGACACAGCTTTCTTTCTCAAGAAGTGGAAAATGTATTTTTATGTAAATAAGTGAATCCTGTGTGCATTACTGTGATCATAATATACAAGGCATAATAAATTTTGTTCTAAAGCAACCAGGACTTCATATATGACCTGCTGAAATCTTAACTCAAAGTGGTGGGAAGTTTCAGGCCCAAAACATGCTACATAACAGTCTTCATCTGTTGAAAGTTAATTTAAGTGCCCTAAGATACACATTGCTTTTCTACAAAATAAAGCAAAAAAATAGTGTTTTCTTAAAAGCTTTCTAGGCATCACTTTAAATGCAAGGGTATTTAGCAGGTGCCTTGGCTTGTTTATGTCAGCATCCAGATGCTGCCAAGGTAAACAGAAGTTTAAGTGACTCGAAAATGCTGACCCCCAACCACTGGTTTATGTAACTACCAGACATTGGGTGAGTTTCACCATTTTCTTGTGGGTTTTAATTTAGTCAGATGAAAATGTAGCCCAGCTCACTGCAAGGGAGAAGTGCCTGTAGAATTTGTTTGTCAAAGTTGGCAGCATCTCACAGCCTCAACGTTTGCAATCTGTCAAGATAGATAAGAGAAATTATGGCCTGAATTGTCCTGTGAAGTACTACATTCTCATAGTCTCCTGTTATTCTGGGTAAAGGACAGAATGAAAACTGTATGAAAACGTACTCTTTCTGACTTTTAAACTAGAAATACCAGGAGTTGTGGCATCCTTTTGTGAATTCAAGAGTTTGTGTCCTATATGGGTGAATACCAGTTTATGCTGTGCAGTTCTATACTGGCTTGTAATGGGTGAATTTCCTGAGCTTCAAGAAAAACAACTCACCTATGTGCCTGTCTTTTGCAGTGGTCACAGCCTGCAACATGGCAGGTGCTGCCATGTATGAGCTGGTACGAGTAGGACACAGTGAACTGGTGGGGGAGATTATCCGGCTGGAAGGTGACCTGGCAACTGTCCAGGTGTATGAAGAAACGTGTATCCTTTTCACTGCTTCCTCTAGTGCTGCCAGACCACACAGTCCACAGTACTGGTGATTAGGGTAAAGAGGGTGGAAAGAAGCCCTCAATACTTTGGGGTCTGGCAGGACATCTGTTCTGCATGTGTTTCGTAAATTTGGATGGTTTTAAGGTGAATCTTACCTTGTATGGCTGTGTAGCAAGGAGACTTCTTTTAACTGGAGATCTAAGTGTACGTTAGAATTCAAGTGCATTTTAATGCCTCTTTGTTAAGGCCAATTGACAAGTGTCAACCATAAATGGCAAAACTAAGCAATATTTCTTGCATCTCTTTTTTTTTTCTTTTAATAACAGTGCTTGTATAATGTTTAAATAAGAAATGTAAAGTGGGCAGGATGCCTTCTTCTGGACAGAGTATTTGCCAAGCATAATAGATTACACTTTTTCTTCTGCAGTGGGCTTTACAGCATTTTGGTCCAGCTATAATGCAGCATATATTCTAAAATAAAACCTAGATATATTACATGTATATATATATGTGTGAGAAAATATCAGAAAAGAAATAATAAAACTTGAAGCCAGGCCTCCCAAGGGGAGCTGTATCATTAGAGCCTGGAAAAAAGGCTGTACTGGCTCCGAAACCTTGGTTCTGAGGAGCTTGCTGGTAAACTGCTGCCTAGGTGCTGTCTCTTTGTAATAATTTATCATTTTAGTTGGCATCATTGTTACAGTATCGAGTAGCTTTCCATCAGTATGTGGAACAAGTTTGCGTATAGTTTACCTTTAATTTCCTGTTGAGCAGAAACTCAGTCATAGGCCTCTCTGAAGTCATTTTGTATTTGATCCCTTGAGTTTTGTATAGGTTTTAGAGGTTTCTTTTGTATTCTAGCAGGGCCTTCTGCCGAGGTGCTGGCCCTTTGCTGAGAAAAGTCTACTGTGCATCTCTGAAGCTTAGGTAGTGGATAGACCTGACAACTTGATACAAGATGGGAGGGCAGTAGTGCTGGTCTTAGACAAACTCCTTTTAAAATTAGGCTGCTGTTGGAAAAAAGCTGTGCGAGGCTCAAGATCAAAGCAGTTGTGCTCTCTAATTCTGAAGTGAAAAATTCCATGTTTCATAACATTATCTGACTTAAACAGCCTAATATGTTTTCTAGATTTGAAGATGTAAGAAATGTGTGATGTTTTGTCATCCCACTGCCTGGCACTCCAGTGAACTCATCCATATTAGTTGACATTAGTTGCCAACAACAGTTGACTTGAAAAATGATCGTAAAGTGGCGTATTTGTCACTATTTTGCCTCTCTAGAGGATGGTGAACTTTGGTGTTTCAGCAAATTCAGAATTTAATATAAAGCCTATATGTTCATTAAATGATGTGATGTGTAACATAGGATTAGGATTACCTTAAAGTCAGAAAAGGAGTTTGAGAGTATGATGTTGTGAACCTGATGACTTCTGCCTGGTTTCTTTCTCTTGTTCTGGATGAACTTTTCCTCAGCAAATCTTTAGCTGGTGTCTCTGTAGGAGATCCTGTGCTCCGTACTGGGAAGCCCCTATCAGTGGAACTGGGGCCTGGCATTATGGGAGCTATTTTTGATGGTATCCAGAGACCTCTCTCAGACATCAGCACTCTGACCAAAAGTATCTATATCCCCAGAGGTGTCAACGTGTCAGCATTGAGCCGAGATATCAAATGGGACTTCACACCTTCCAAAAATCTGCGGGTAGGTTCTGACAATCCTGTGTTCCCCTCTCGCTCCTCCACCCCCAGAGCTTAGGCCTGGAGCAGCGTGCTGACTGCTGGGACCTGTGGCTGATGCTGCATTTATTGAAGTTTGCAAAAAGGAGTTTTAAGAGGTGGTAGTGATGTATGAGACTGGATGGGGATCACCAAAACTTACTTGATACAACTTACGGTGTGTTGCTGCTGCATATGAGAAATTTACAGAGTTTTAATGTATTTACCA